CATAAGCAGGGAGAAATAAAAACTTTACAGACAAGCAAATGCTGAGTAGATTTGTCACCACCAGGCCTACTCCTTTACAAGAGCTCCTGAAGGGAAGCACTAAGCACGGAAAGGAACAACTGGCACCAGCCACTGCAAAACATGCCAAATCAGAAGACCACGATACTAGGAAGAAACTGTGACAATTAATGGGCAAAATAACCAACTAACATCATAAAGATAGATCAAATTCACACATAACAATATTAACCTTAGTGTAAATGTACAAATGCCCCAATTAAAAGACACAGACTGGCAAATTGGATAAAGAGTCAAGACCCACCAGTGTGCTGTATTCAGAGACCCACCTCACATGCAGAGACACACACAGGCTCAAAATAAAGGGATGAAGGAAGATCTACCAAGCAAATGGAAAGAGAAAAAAAAAAAGCAAAGGGTTGCAACCTCTAGTCTCTGATAAAACAGACTTTAAATCAATAAAAATCAAAAGAGACAAAGAAGGTCATTGCCAATAATGGTAAAGGGATCAATTCAACAAGAAGAGCTAACTATCCTAAATATATATGTACCCAATGCAGGAGCACCTAGATTCATTACAAGTCCTTAAAGACTCCACAAAGAGACTTAGACTCCTACACAATAATAATGGGAGACTTTAACACCCCACTGTCAATATTAGAAGCAGATCATGAGACAGAAGGTTAACAAGGATATCCAAGACTTGAACTCTGCTCTGCACCAAGCAGACCTAATAGACATCTACAGAACTCTCCACCCCAAATCAACAAAATATACATTATTCTCAGCACCCACATCACACTTTTATTATAAATTGACTACATAATTAAAGTAAAGCACTCTTCAACAAATGTAAAAGAACAGAAATCACAAACTGTCTCTCAGACCACAGTGTAATCAAATTCGAACTCAAGATTAAAAACTCACTCAAACCACACACAACTGTATCAAACTCCTGACCTCGTGATCCATCTGCCCAGCCTCCCAAGTGCTGGGATTACGGGCTTGAGCCACTGCACTACCTACACACATTTATATGTGAGTTTGATCCTATCATGATGTTGGCAGTTGGTTTTGTAGTATGTATTGTGTGGTTGCTATATAGCATCTCTGAGCTATATTTAACTGTATTTTTGTAACAGTAGGTATTGTTCTCTTATTTCCATGTTTTGAACTCCCCAAGGTCCCTTAAGGTTAGTCTAGTGGTAACAAATTTTCCTCAGTAACTGCTTGTTGGGAAAATATTTTTTTTTCTTCTTTTGCTTATGTTTAGTTTGATGTGATAGGACATACTTGCCAGAATCTATTGTCTTTAAGAATGCTGAAAATAGGTTATCCTCATGAAAATGTACTACCTAATATGGTATGTACAATAATGCATCATGCAGTTTGTTTTTATTTTATGTTATTTTGTTTATAACTTTACCTAAGTGAGACCTGGTAAGTTGTTTTATTTTATGGAATTTAATGAGATAGAATTTCTTGATTTTCCACATTTGTCGGGTGTGACTTGTGTAGTGAAACTACCCACAGCAGGGATATATGCCTGTGAGGTGGCACAGACCCGAGACCCGATGGATCAGACTTGGCCTTCATCCTCCTCTTGTCCTGATGAAATCTCACAGCTCCAGACAACACAGACACAAAACATTGATCAACAATAAGATGGCTTGAAGAAATGCTTCTTTCAGGACAAATTCTTTCTGTGCATTCCATGAGGTAATCAATATAGTATATAGCTACACATTTGCACCATTTTGAAGCCCACTACAACAATCAGAGTTTTAAAATGCTGCGTTTAGTGAGCATTGTCAATAGAGTCTTTAAGATCATCAGTCTTAAGTCAAGAAAATTTAGAAAGTACTAAAATCTTAGCACTCACATGAAAGAAAACTGGAAGTTTTTCCAAATTAGACAACAATCAGACAAATTTGCATAATATTACCAATCTAAGTTTTGAAGCAGAAAGAAAATGTTATAAACCATGATTTTCACAAGTAGGATTGATTGTAGTATTTCATAATTTTGGATGATTATAGTATTTATCAGAATTTTAAAGTGATCAAACTTAGTGGAAAGACTGATTTATGCTTCTGCTATATTTACAGAAAATTCTATTATAAAATCAATGTCATGTGATGAAGCAAATAGTGACTCAATAGTTGAGTATGAAAACATAGAATTAACTTTTTACACTGTTGTGTCGAGTAGTTAATTAATAAAAATGTTACATTAGCAAGTAAAAAGAACACACATTAAGGAACACATCTGCAGGGTGGATGGATGGACTGATGGGGTCAAAGCCAGTGACATCACGAGCAGGAAACCATGTTTCTCTCAAGCTGCAGCTTTGAAATGTCAAACAGCCTCTGCCTTGGTTGACGGCTGCTTTCTGACTCAATGGAAGACCTTGTTCTCTAGCGTCAGGGCTGTCAGAATCTTTGCTTATGAATGAGAAGAACATTCCACTGCCTGGAGGAGCGGGTCCATCTTTACACAGACACACAGAGCTGCAGAGAAGGGGTTTCTGGACGGAACGTTCCACACCTGGCTGGACTTTATGGGTTCTAAGGACACAGGGCCTAGGACCACTTTGCAGAGCAGACTTGACACTGGCTGCTTTACATGAAGGCCTGCCATGCTCTGAGTCCATCACTACAGCCTCAAAAATCCCTCCCCACAGTCTAATAATAAGCTCTTTCCATTGTTTTTTGAGTCATCACAGGTTTCTTGGTATGAATTTATTCCCTTTTTGCTACAAGCCAATAATCCTGAGTCTGTTGACTGCAAAATCTGTTTTGGTGACTGATCGCACTAGGATGTATATTATTTTTCTGGAATTTGGGATGATTGTAGTATTTATCAGGACTTTAAAATAAGTAATTTGTTGTGACTGATTTCCTCTTCTTAAATAAACACTAACTTTTGTGCTTAGTTTCTAATTGGTTATATTATGCTATTTTTCATGCAGAAAACCCTCTGTATTACGGAAGCCTTAGACCTCACGGAACCTGGGTTGCCTGTGGTTACAGTGCTGAGAATCCACCTGCCCAAGGAATGACTGCACTGGTTCCTGCTTCCCAGGCCTCCAGTGGACTTACCCCTCCTTCCAGAGTGATTTGTCTATGCTGAAGGTGGAGTTTCTAACCTCAGTGGTTTTAGTGTTTTAGCAAGAATTTGTGACAATATTTTTGCTAAAGGAACTCTTAGAAGGGGTGCAATATTTCCAAAACATGACCCTCAGGAGCGTCCTTTACTCCAAAAACCCGGGAGCTTCCGGAAAAGGCCCAGACCCTCAGCTTGCTCCACAAGACGAAGACCCACATGCTCACCTTCAAGCATCCCTGCCCCCTGCTCCCCTCCTGGGGAACAGACACACAGGGAGATGGTGGAGGGAGCCTTCTACAGAGCCAGACTTCCCCCTCCACTTCTCCAGGAAGAGAGATGTCAGAAAAGTTACGGGTTTACACGAAATCACCTGTTCCTTGTGTCCTTGGATGGTGGTTGCTTATGTCAAGACAGATCCTTCACCAGGTAGAGAACCATGAGGATCTCCATGCAGGGAAGACTTCGCCCCTGACCACCATTCCTGGGCACCTGCTGCTCTGCTGTCAGCCCCTCTCTTCCAACAGGAACCTGAATCAGTGTGTGTGCACCCCCTACCCCCCAACACCAGGTGAGGCCCAGACTCAAATCTCCCCAGTTCACGACCTCCTGGGTGCTGCTTCACCTTCTTCAACCCCAAACCTTGGTTAACTCCTGTGTGGGTGGAGAGGAAATGAAGCAGATGCTCCCCACTCTCCCTGCCAGACCATCCTCCTCCTGGCTTTCTGTGTGCGGCACATGGGGTGCGGGCCTCAGGGCTGTTTGGGCAGTTTCCCCTTTGTCATTTCTCCCTCAGTGTTCATGGCAGCCACCTTTGGTCAAAGCAGCTCTAGGCACGGAAGATAGTTGAGAGCCCTTCCCCAGAGGCTCCTGCCCTGAGGGCTGCACCCCTCTGCCCAGAAATAGCAAAGGGAAGGGCCGTGCAGGGTGGGCTAGGTCTTAAGACTGTAGCCTCTTCTTTGGAGCGCAACTAACCACTTTTCTGAAGAATGGTTTTGACACTAAGGTGATGTTATTTATTAATTAAAACATCCTTCTTGAAAACAACAAGTATCCACTGCATGTCACTTCCATTTGTGTTTTAACTTCTCCATCCCTACGAAGAAGCCCGACCTGAGTACTTGTTTTAAATCCAAGTCCAGAGAAAGGACGGCTGGATGTGAACATGTAAAACTCTTCTAGGGCACAGCTTCCTAGCCTAGGACACAACCTCCCAGCCTGGGGCACACCCTCCCAGGATGGATGACAGCAGGCACTGCTTTCTCTGGGTGATACGCCCGTCTTTCATCTGGTTGGCATTTTTCCCAATCAATTATACACACACACACACACACACACGCACACACACACACACACACTTTTGGGCTTTGTTTCCATGTAGGGGCCTAAAGTCTCGTGTGGAAAGAACCACACGTCCATTGCTATCTAGTTAGTGTCTAGGGGATTTGATGAGAGCAGCTCAGTCCCTGGAGTCTGTTCAACTCTGCAAGCACAGACGGAATCTACGGCCTGGTGAGCTCCACCGAGGCCTGGCCCCTGGCTGTGGACACAGCCAGCCCCCTCCTCCTGCTCCGACCAGGAGCTCAGACCAAAGCAGCAGCCCAGCTTCCTGGGCCAGCTGCCTGGGCCCCCTCCTCTCCCTGGTGCCCTCACCAGGGGCTGCTGCAGCTGCAGCCCTGGGTTCGCAGCCCCTGGCTGCTCTCTCCCTGTTCTGAAGCTCAGGTCTCCGAAAGTGGCAGCAGCTCCCATGACAGCCTTGCTGTGGCTGCGTCAGCTCCCAGGTACTCCTCTGATCCCCACACCAGCACAACAAGGAGGCTTCATAAAGGAACTGCAGAAACCCTGCCTGTGTGCACATCCCCCAGACAGCCAAGTACTCAGAGGGAGCCGATGCTACTGTTTTATTGCAGGAGGTGGGGTTGTGTGTACCATGTACCAGGGCTACCAGAAGCAAGAAGGAAGGAGGGAGGGCGGGGCCCCCTGCTGAGCAACAAAGGCCTCCTGCTCTCTTCTCTGTCTGTCGCCTGGCGCAGGCGCATGGGGAGACATCCCCCAGGGTGGAGGCCACCAGTCCAGGGGTGGAAGCACTACAGGGGGTGGGAGTAGGCGGTGGTTGGTGTGACTGGTCTGGCACAGATCCCTAGGCTTCTTGACACCTGGAATTCACCAGGGACATTCTGTCCTCCCAGGGAACTTCATAGATCTGGAAAGAGCACAACTGTTTCTGTGAAAGGGAAGAGAGAGGGCCAATCAGTGTGGGTTACAGTGAAAGGGGAAGACGCCCAGCATGAGATGTCAGAGCCTGGGTGAGGAGGTTGGAGGTGAGACACTGGGCCCACACCCACCCCTGCTGAGACCCAGAGCACTGAACTAGAATGAATAGGGACTGTTCCATCGCCCCTCCAAGGCTCCAAGTCACCAGGTGGCATTGGGCCCTCACCCCAGCCTGCAGGATTCCTGTCTCAGCACAGCCCTGTGAGGAGAAGCCTGTGAAAGGCCTTGGGAGCCCCAAAGGTGCAGGGCAGGGGGTGGCAACTCGCTTCCCCCAGCTCCTTCCACCTCCAGCATCCAGGCCAGCACTAAGAGGGGCCAGAGGGAAGAGAGCATCCAGGCCAGCACTAAGAGGGGCTAGAGGAAGAGCCCAGGCAGGGCAACCCACTCAAAGAGCTGAGGCCGGAGCAAGGTGACAAGGGGAGTGCAGCTCTCCCTGAGTGGAGACTTCCACAAGAACCAGGAGGTCCTTGGAGAGGCTGGTGCTGGGTGAGCGGGGCAGGTCCAGGCTACGAGCTAATAGCTCTCTAGATCTCACTAATCTGCTTAGTGGCTGTGGCTGCGGCAGGTGCCTTCAAGGCTGGGATTAGACAGAGCCCTTCTCCTGCCCAGCACCCAACCCAGCAGCTGCTTCTTCCTGTTTGACAGGCAAATAATTCCCAAAGAAGGCAGAGTTGACCTCTTAGTAACCATTCCCAAGGTAAAGCCTTCCTAGCAACTCAAACTACATCAGCCCTCCCTCACCACTCCCATCTGCACACACATAGGCAACTATGTAAACTCACTTGGACCCCTCATCCTCATGGATCTATGTACAAACCCCCATACTGCTCCCACGCATCCACACAGGGTCACACATCTCCCTTACACCTCCCTGCACACACTGGCACATGTGTGTACACACGTGCACCTTTCCTCATGCACACCTGCATGCACACACCCCCCCAAGTACATGAACATGTACACATCCATGCATACATGGCTCCCCACACGCCCACCTGCACACACACACACCCTCCAAACATGGGTAGGGCAGAGGCTGACACATACACACCCCTCTGCAGTGCATGACTGGCCCGGGACCCGCATCAGGAACGTACCTTCTGCAGTTCTGGCTGTTCATGGAAGGCACAGGTGTCCACGTTGGGCTGGGACTTGGTACATGTGGTTCGGCCCAACTCTACATCAAGGAAGTAATTCGTTCCGGCCACGACCTACACACATGAGAAAACAGGACGCACGGAGAGCGCTCCCCATCAGTTTCCTGCACACACAGCACTTCACTGTGGCTGAGTCACTGGACTTGATTGGGGCTTTGTGAACTGCCCACATGTCACCACAAGGCACACAAGTCCCCTCTTCCTGTCAGCCGGCAGTGTGCTGGGCCTCATGCCTGCTCTTAAACATTGTTTTCTCTGTGCTGGGTAAAAGGATTCATTGAATTCTGCTACCTGGGGCTCAGGGGCGAAGGAACACTGAATCTTTTCTAGGAAGGCTGTCATCTGATGACAACATTTCAGCTAACTTCCGAAAATCTCATTCCCTCCATTTAACCTAGATTTATTCCTTCATTTAAGAGTAGGAAATGAGGTGCTTCACACACAGAGATGCTTTGGGTCAATGGGATGCTTTGGGTCAATGGGGCCTCCCGGATGCCACCATTTTAGGTGTGAGATTCGAGCTACTTTTCTAAAGTCAGCAGCACACCTGCGTGTCTTACACTTGCAGACTAGAACTGAACCCTTTCTCTGCACGGGGTCTCTCCCAGACACAACATGGCAGAGCTGTGGAGAAACCTGGGATGAGGCACTCTGAGACCAGGGTGCTAGACATTGCCCCTTGGAACCAGAAGGAACTGCTAAGATCCCTCGAGTATCAGTTTATCCATATATAAAATAGGCTTCCGGGCTGGATGGTCTGCAGTGCCCTGTGCTTCACTCCAAGTTATTGTCATGCTTGAAAGGGAGGTGCAGGCCAGCGGGGACCACCGCACCAGGAAGTGCACCTTGTGTGCAGGGTGAGGGCCCCAGCTGACAGCTGCAGGAGGAGAAATGGGGCTGGTCTGGATTCCTTTGAATTTCTAAGAGGAGATGGAGGAGCTCCAAAGCCTGTGTCACTATTTGCTGCTGTGCCATGGGATGCACGTCAAGCTGGGCCCAGTAGCCCTTCGAAGCTCCCTCCTGACCTGACCCCATCCAATGCTCTGCTGGGTGACTGGTGTCCTCATCTGGCTGAGGTCTAATTCTGCATCAGCTCGTAGAGGCAGGCTCAGGCATGCTCCACCCCAGCAGGGACTCAGCTGCCCTGGGCTATAGGGGGTGGCCAGCCAAACCGAGGGTGAAGGCTGCTAGCCCTAAGGGGCTGTGCCCAGGGGCGTGACTTGGGGAGGGAAGCAGGGCTCTGCAGAACAGGGAGCCAGGTTCCCATGTGGCCCCTGCCAACAGGACTCAGGGAAAAGGATAAGTCTCATGGCCTGGGTCTCATCCAGAGCAGCATCAAGTCCACCCAGAGTCAGCACTGTCTCCACCCACACCTGCTGGACCCTGGGAAATGGCACGGTCGTGTCACAGACACAGCGGCTCCTGCAGGTTAAAGGAGGCTGAGGGGATAGACAGTGGCTGCAGGGCATGGCCGGGGAGCGTCCTAGGGCATGAAGGCCATCAGGGGAGAGTCAGGGAAAGCTGAAAGAGTCTGAGCATTAGATCAGGAATGTGTCAATGTTGATTTGCTGGGAATGCTCTTGGGAGTTGTGCAACAAACCAGACTGGAACTCAAGACCTCTCGGGCGGTGGCAGCACCCACCTGCTTTCTGGCTCGCAGCACCCGCATTGGGCGTCTGTAGTACTCATCTTCGGTGGCCTTGTTGTACTCGCTGATGGCGAAGTGAAGGGCATGCTGTACTTCATCATCATTGAGGTCTGCGTCATAGATGCCACCTGAAATCATCCTATCCTCCTCCTTGGGGCTCCAGGCCTGGGCCCCAGCCAGGGCGGCCAGCAGGAGCAGCAGGGTGCACAGGGGCTGGGCCATGGGCTCCTCAGAGGCAGAGCACAGAGCTGGAGCTGCAGGAGAGGAGGGTGAGAGCCTGAGGTGGGAAGCCCAGACCAGCAGGCAGCTGTGCATTTATCCTGCTTTGGCAGCCCAGCCCCACCCCTCCATGCCACGCCCCTGACTCCTCCACCTCTTTCTGCCCATCCCCTGTTTCTCCATCTCTCTTTTCAGTCCCCCACCACCACAAGCTCCCACCCTGCCTAAGTTCCCCCTGCCCCTCCCAGGCCTCCTCCTCCATATCTCCCTCCTCCCCACTCCTGTCCTCACTATAGCCTCCCGGAGCCATGCCTCTCTTCCCTGGTGCTCCCAAGCTTGAGTCACCGGCGTCTCCACAGAGGTGACACTGCTCCTTTGACACTGCTCTATGAAAGCAATGAGACCTCCTGTTTGCTCAGAAAAGGGAAAAATACAGGGTTTGGCCTTCGGGGTCTTCAGATATCGGGACATCCAGATATCTTCAGACATCCAGGAGCCCTTGGTCACAGTCTCTGAATCTCTGGAGCAGGGAGGTTATTTCAGAAGGTTCCAGAAGACCCTGCCCACACCCTACTATGGAGAATTTCTTTGCCAAATGTAAGGGAATTAACCTGTTTGGAAAAGGTCACTGGGTTCTCTTTTCATAACTCATTATTCAGTAAACCAACCTGTCACCAGTTACTCCCTGTGCCAGGAGGTCTAGGAGTTGAAGATGGAACCTGGATGATGAGCCGTAGAGGTGACGCTGCAGAGCTGCTGCCCAATAGAGATGTGACATGAACCCAGGAGCAACTGAAAATTTCTCGTAGATGCATTTTAAAAGATAAGAATAAATGGGTGAAAGTAATGTTTAAAATATTTACTTAACCTAATATAGCCACAAGATTATTTCAGCTAATGGGAACAATTATTAATGAGATAGTTTACGTGCTTTTTTTTAGTTTTGTTTTGTTTTTGTAAATCTTTGAAATTCCTTGTGTATTTTTTACACTTAGCCCAGGAGTCACTTTGGACTGGCCCCGTTTCAAGTGTCCAGTGGCACATGTGGCTGGTGGCTATGGAACTGCACAGTCCATTCCTTACACAGTGTGTGTAGGGGATGGTAGGTTATGATCAACAATTAGGATCAGGGAGTTATACTCACTTTGTTGGAAGTGAAATAGAACAGGGGCTAGAGAGAGACCACTGGACCCTGGTCAGGGAGGTCTCTACGAGACTGGAGAGGTTGAGAAGCCCCAGGCAGCGTGGAACAGCCAGTGCAAAGGCCCTGAGGTGGGGTTGGGCATGTCTGCTCCAGGAAAAGGAAGCTCCTGGAGGGGGTGTGAGCAGGGAAGGGAACGACCTGGAGTCTCATGGTAACTGTGGGTGGGGCCGGGTGAAAGGTACACGGGGACCCTTGGCAGGCAGTGGGGGTGTCAGGAGAGGGAGCAGCAGGCACAGGATGAATGTGGGAGCCCACGGGCCTCTCTTGCTTCTCTTCTAGGGAGCCATGCTTCAGGCTCCTTTCTGCTGCGCACTGCTTGGAAGATTCACCTGATATTTTAAAAATTGCCTCAAAGGAGGTAGAATTTACATACAATAAAATGCCTAATAGTATGTGCTCCACATGGAGGATTTCATAAATGCATACCATGCCTTCACTTTGTCCAGACCTGTGACATCTGCGCCCACCCCAGACGGTATCCTCCTGCCTCTGCATCCCACCTCATGCCCACCCTGCCCCTGGCATTCCCCATCCGGCCCTGTAGACTCCTTTGTTGCCTGTCCTTGAGCTTCCTAGGAATGGAGTCCTGCAGAGCGAGAGCCAGGTGTGTCTTTGTCCTTTGCTCATAGTGGCTTTCCAGCAGCCCCCCGTGTTGCTTCATTGCCAGGATTGTAGGTTCTCCTTCTCCCCAGACTGAGAGGACCTGATCAGTTGGGTGCCCTGTGAGTGACAAAGTCCCCAGCTTGGGATGCTGTGGGCCTGGGCTGAAAAGTGACTCCAGGAGTGGGGAGGGTAGAAGGAGGCTCTGAACAGACAGCTGCTCCCTTTGTTCTCTCAACCCCACCCTCCACGCCTGAAGGTGACCCTGTGGCAAAGCCCTTATGGTGAGGTGGCAACTTGGCCAGAAACACCAGGAAACCCTGGGCCTTTGCAGGGCACCCAGAGGACTCTCCTGGGAGTGGTCGAGGTGAAGGGTCAGCCAGGATCAGCCCAGACCTGCTGTGATCCTGGGGGCTCGGCCATAGCTGCAGAAAAGCTGGATCAATAGGAACCCGACAGGCGGGAACAGTATTACTCTTGGGTGCTCATGTTCATTATTAGGACAGGGGACCTTGTTACCCAAGGCCCAGTGACCATCTCTACATCCATAGCCAGTCAGCATCAGAAAAGCCATGCAGCCCAGCAGATACAGCAGGTGGCCCAGGGATGGTGTTTACTGCTGGAGTGAGGGGAGGAGTCTTCAGACAGGGCTGCACATATGCCTCCTAGTTAGACAGGACATGGGAGGAGTTCCCAGAGAGGGAAAGAGGCAGCCTGGCCAGGCCAGCGCCAGGCAGAATGGTCATTTCCAAAGGAGTAGGAGTTAGTTCTTCTCTGTGGCTCCCACCTTCCCGGGGAAGGCCTAGAAGTCAGACTCAGGAGAACATGCTGTGCAGAGGGTAAGCTGAAGTCAAGCAATCTCTGTTTTGTTTTTGTTTTCAATCAGTGGAAGGAGGTGCAGGTAACCCAAATAGAGAATGTGCTGGTGGGTGGAGTGTGAGAGGAGGCCAGAGTGCTGACCTGTGCCCCGTATGTGATGACACCACCAGTAGTCATCTGTCAGGATACTGACGGCACTGCCCGGAGGGTCAACTGTCCTGATGCAGCAACCTCTCTAATCCCAGTAGGAAGATACCAGTGTGGGATTTGCTCTTAGGGGTAGGTGCAAGTGCGATGTCAGTAAGAGGTATTAAGAAGTGGCAGGTTAGGAGTAGCTGGCCAGCTTAACACTCCAGATGTTTGGTAGCCGTAGGCAAATGTTGTGTCTGTCGTGCATCTGGAGAAAGAGGGAAACTGCTTTGCCAAGCATAGTCTCTGGGAGTTCAGACCAGCGAGATGAGCAGACCTTCATGTGATGTATCAACACGTTTGAAAATGATGGAGTAGCCAGGTGGGTAATTGCACCTGTAATAGCTAATTAGGAGGGTGAGTCAGGAGGAAGATTCCTTGAGTCAGGGTTCCATTCCAGCCTGTGAAACAGTGAAACCCCCATCTCAAAACAATGAGAGAACACTTTGTTCCCTGGTTTCTATAGTCCACAGTTTTAAGGACACTAGGAGGGCCAGATAGCAACCATGGACTGAGACAGCCTGGGGCCTCCAGCTCCCATGTAACCTGGAGGAGTCCAGCTGCCCAGGAGGGCATGTTTCCTTCTGCCACGTGATGAAAGAGAAAGCTGTGTCCCCCTAGGCTGCATGGGGGACTACTGATCCGATCATCTGAATTAGCAGGATGAGAAAATTAGGTGAGTGGCAGAAGTTCTCTGTAATAAATGACCAGTAATAAGTAGACACTAAACAATACTATAATAAACAAATGACCAAGCACAGAAAGCATCACCTAAAGGTGCAAGTGGTGAGGACAAGCTGGCCAAGAGTTGAGATTCTGCACATCTGGGTTTTGAGCAACTAACACTTTGGTCTATGGTAGGAGCTGAGACTGAGCAGCTACAGGTTTGAGTGGCTTCTCAAGCCAGGAAGCCCAGGAGCCCCTTTATGGAGTGCCTGGAATTCTCTGGGGTCAAGCTCGTCTCGTTCACACTCCATCATCCTTCTTTTCTCCTCTCCTCAAACGCATGGCGGACACGTGGATGCTTCTAAACTGTGAGCCAATGTCGGTAACACATTTGGCTCTTCCACATCATTAGGAAACTGTGATACTCATGAGAGTAACAGTAGCTCCACGCAGAAAGGCGACAGGGCAGAGCCCAGTGTCTGAGTCCTATTGTTTTGCCTCCATGGAGAGAAGAGAATCCTTCTCAGGGACCAGTAGGTAGACAGTATTCATGGTTTTGGGAATGCAAGTTAACATTTATTTTTCAAAAAGAGTGTTTGTCAGTGCAGATTCAGTGACTGAGAAGAACTACATAGGAAAGGAGGGGAGTAGGCGGCCTCCGGGATCTCAGGCGCTGGCTGCTGCGAGCGAGGATCCATCTGACTCCTGGGCTGCACAGCCTGCAGAGCCTGGACAGGAAAACAGATGACTCTGAGGAGGTGAAGTAATCTCCTTGACATCGCTGAGTGGTCAGATTTTCTTATCCTGTTTGGGTCTGTGGCACTTCCCTGTCACTGTGTAACCTTAAATATCAATTCCTTTAGCAAAGTGCAGTGACGGTGGAGAGTGGTTCACCAACAGCGGAATCCTGCTAAACTCAATCATGGAGTGCTGAAGCTGGGGCAGAGGCCATCAGGACAGCCACTGCCCCTCCTGTAGCCCTGCCTGCCCTCTCCTACCTGTCACAGAGGGCTGGATCCAGCGACAAGACTCACCTTGACTGACCTTAGTTAGGCTCCTCAGGCCTTCATCTCCCCCTAGTCCTCCAGCCTAGTCCCCAGCCCTACCTCCTGTTCTTGCGAGGCTGCATTTGCCCAGTTTTGAAGAAATCCTGCTAAGTCAGTTTAGAAAGAATCCCCCACCCTCGGTATCTGATCCTCTCAACATCTGATCAAGTTCTTATTCCTTAACTTTGATGTCTAAGGTTTTGTCTGCCTTTAGCAGCAATATTATTGTTAGGTCAGTTTATCCAGAAACTCCTACCTTTGTTATCTCTGTAGTAATTCCCATCTGTTAACCCCCTGATCCTTGCCTATAGATCCTTCACCTTGTATTTAGAGTTGGGCTCATTCTCCATCTCATTGCTTGAAGTCTTTACACCTATTGCAATGTCTCGAATCATCCCTACCCAGCTCAGGCTTCAAGCAGTGAAGCTGCACATCCTCTTATCATAATGTCATCACTGGACATCCTGCAGGGCTCTAACAATTCCAGCATGTCAGTGTTACAATCATGTTAGCCCACACCCTGCCTCCCATCGTGTATCCCCAATTTAGTTAATAGCCACACTCTTCTCCATGGTTCTGCCCAGAGATGTAGATTTAACGACCACCGGCAAGTTATTAAATCTCCCAGTGCTTCCAAGTCACCATTTAAAAACAGAAATACAATGATTCCCAGTATCCATGAGTTATTATGACAATGGGCTGTGTAATAAAGTGCTGCAGCAATCTCATTGGCCTACGGCATCGACCAGTTATTTTGCTGACATCTGCAGTCCAGCTGGGAGTCACTGACCTGGGATGGGATTGTCTGGGCTGGCTCTGGTCCACGTCTGTCATCCTTCTCCAGGGACCAATGCAGCGGACATCTTTCATATTCTCACATGGCAAGAGCAGTGCACAAAAAGGCAATGGATTGCACAAAAGTATTTTCAAACTTCTGGTTACTTCACACCTGCAACTCTCCCTTGGCTAAAGCAAGTCACACGGCCAGCCCAAAGGGAAGTGGTCGGGAAGTGCACTCTGCCACGGAGGGTGGAGGACAGGAGTGAGTATTTGAAGAATAATCTAATATGCCCCAATAATGTACCACACTGACTCATAGGGGTGTCAGGGAAATCTAATGAAATGCTTGTGAAGAGCTTGCTGCAGGTGCCTGGCATCTATATTTCTGGCTATCCAATCCTGTGAATTAATCTAACCTCCTAGTAATCTGGCTATCTAGGTGTGAAAGGAAATAAATCTCAGGACCCTAATCCATTCAGCCAAAGAGAGAGAAAGTCAAGCTGGGAACTGTATCGGAGCAAACCTGACTCTCATTCTATTCCCAAATCAAGGTAGCTACAAAGATTTAAAAACTACATCCTCCCTCACAATTTGCCCCAAGAAATTCCTTGTGGAAAAGACAGACAGAATTCAAAGTCATCCTTCTGCTCACATGAGAGCGTGAGATAAATGCATTATCTGATTGCTTCCTTTGCCCTGTTGTTTCACTAAATATTGTAAATTGCTTATTCAGTTAAAGGTTAATCAGAAACTCCAAAAGATACGAAACCATTTGTCTTTTATCTACCTATGACCTGGATGCCCCCTCCCAACTTCCAGTTCTCCTGCCTTTCCAGACTGAACCAATGTATATCTAATATATGCTGATTGATGGCTCATGACTATCTAAAATGTATAAAACAAGCTGTAACCCGAACACCTTGGATGCATGTAATCTGGGCTTCCTGGGGGCTGTGTCATGGGAATGTCCTTAACCTTGGAAAAATAAACATTCTAAATTGATGGAGACTTGTCTCAGATATATTAGTTTACAAATGGGGAATCTACCTATTTACCTATCAGATCTATTTAATCTATCCATCTATGTATCCATCCATAATGTTTCTGCTTATTTCTCATTGTTCACTAACCACTAAAAACTGAAGTCCTGTGACATTCTGTACCTGTATTTCAGTGTGTCCTCCCACACTGCCACAGCCTATGAAGCGTTCATGGCTGTCTTGTGACTGTCAAACTTTGAGATGCTTCACTGTGCTCTGTGCCTCCTCCTGTGCTGTTCTACTCACTGCCACCAAATCAGATTGTGATCCTTGGCTCAC